GTGTGCGTGTGTGTGTGTGTGTGCGTGCGTGTGTGTGCGTGCGTGTGTCGGGGGGGGCCCCTTCAGCGGAAGAACCGGGCAGTAAGGGTGCAGAGTTGCTCTAACCTGGGACACTGGCACCTCGGAGTCGGAACGCGGGGAGCGCGGGGTCGCCGGCCGACGAAAGGCCGCGGCTGGGGCGACCTCCTGCGCTCTGGGCGCCTGCCCGCCGCCTCTCACTGGCCCCAGGGGCTCCCGCTCCTGGGGCGGCCAACGCACGGGTCTGTTTCTCTGGTTGGAGCTGCGCGGGGCCCGTCCAGAGGCAGCCGGCTGGAGGCGGCGAGGGGACAGCGCCGGCCGCAGGGTGCGGTCGGGCGGCGGAGTCGCGGCTGCGCTGGGCAGAGCTCTGGGGGGAGACGCGCACCGCACCCTGAAAGCGCGGGTTCCTTGTGCGCAGGGTCACCACAGATGCTCTCTCCCGGGCAAGAGTTACTCTTTTGCCAGCCTAAAGGGCCCATTTGACATCAGTTACTTCTCCCAATATTCTTAGACATTCTGTTCACAAATCCTTTTACCATTTTACTTCTTCATTCGACAGATACCTGAGTGCCTACTATGTGCTTAGCAGGGGCTACAGTGGTGGGCACATCAAAGCCCCTTTCCCGTGAAGCCTGTATTGTAGTGGGGTGGGGGTGAGGCAGGCGGACAGTTAAATAGTTACAGTTGATATGTAATGATAGAGATTATGAGGGAAGTCCACGCTGGTCATAGTGTAACCAGTTCATCAGTGGGTAAACCTTGCATAAGGCAACTGCTCAGCAGGAAGATGGGGGTTGGGGGAGGCAAGGGTTGACTTACTGATTCTCTTTTCCGTTAAAATGTTTGAAAGGCCAGTTGATTTCATCACCCGCCGGAACAACTGTTCAAATGATGGACTGATAGATGATGTCAGTTCCTTCTCCAGCAAAACAAGCTCTCAGTCCACAAATATGCGGTGTTCTGAAGTTCCTTTGTTTGAGCTTTAAGTGTACTTATGAGGAAAAAGTACCTGTGCTAATTTACAAAAGAGTGTTAAAACAGAGGGATTATAGAATTATAACCCTGATGCCTGATTTCATTTGTAATACTTTTTCTTTGAGAAAATTCTTTTCCCGTTCTAACCAAGAATTCCAGGAACAAACTCTCTCGCTGAGCAATCCCAGCTCCCCGATTCCCCATCCCGGCACTCAGCCTTTGGTGTGATTGTCTTCTTACCTGCCTAGCCAGGTATCCAATAACTTAGAATAATTTTCTGTTGAGTGGAATGTGGCACTAAAAAGGCCACTGTTTGGGGTTCAGGACCCGTTAAGTTTCCCTCACTTAACTTTTCTTTATGGTTGACTCAGGTGGTTAGTTTGATACCAAAGAGGTCGAAACCCATGATCATGACTGTTCATTGATCTCTCTGCTTGACACACGGTCAGTATTTGCCACAGAAAAACTAGGTCTTAGAGTGTTGGGAATGAAGTGACTGGCTGTTTATTTTGTAGGTGTGGGCTGGGGAGGTGCCTGTAGCTGTGCCTATGTCAACAGAGGAGAGGCCCCATTATGGACAAAAGTGAATTAAAGCTTCACAGCTGTCACATGTTTGTGAGCTATGTGAGCCAAGTGGTCCCAGGATCGCCCCAGGTTATCCTGGATATGAGAGTGGAGTTCTGCAGAGACCCCTCTATTAAGTCTTGTTGCAGAGGTTTGGGCTAGGGGAGCTGGCCTGCAGAGTGGCAGTGCTGGGGGTCCCATACAAGCTCTAGCACGATGCTGTCACCGTTCTTGTGAGGGTTGCTTCCCCCAACAGGGAAAAGTCAGGAGACCTTTTCAGAGTTACAAGGAAGGAGGTTAATTTCTGCTTTTAAAACCGAAGCACTTGTGTACCGTTGCCCAAGGAAGGTACAGTGCCAACTGCTAGCCCTACTGCCGGAGGGGGAGAGGGGGGCCCTGCCAGAGAGCCAGCCCCGCACATTGTGGCAGGGACTGCGGAGGGCGGGGCCTCTGCTTCCGCAGGAGCCTTCTCTGCACCTGAGATTTGGTGATGACCAACCTCGGCTGAGAAACACAAAACCAGAGGACAGAGATGCAAACCTGACATCCTTTGGTGTGTTCTTCCTCCTGGGACTATTATTATTTTTTAAATGGAACTGTTACTACTTTTTAAATGGTTTTAAGTCCCTTTACTTCAGACACATCCAAGTTCAAATAAGATGACAAAACCACTTTACAAAGCCAGCTCTAAGGATCTTTTGGTTAACTGTTTCCTTGGATTGTTGATACCTTTATATAGCTCCTTAAAAGTGACCTCAGCACCTGGGCACCTTTGGCTAGGAGACTGTCCTTCACGCTCCTGCGAACACAATCATTGGCATCTCCAGAGCGGTTGACTTTCAGATACGTAAAGATTATATGCAGAGTTTGTAGATTTCCCTCGGGCAGGATAAGATGCAGATGCCCTGTGATGGTGATACGTGGTTTTAAAGTGCATAAGCAAAAAAACTAAAGGCAAAAAATTGCCTTATGTCAAAACGGTTGTCTTAAAAACAAGCAGTAAGCTGTGCAGTGTTACAGTTAGGAAATTTCTTACCCTCCAAATGTACTTGCCCGGCCTTGGGTTAGAGAGAGCTCTTTGTGGTATTTAAATATGAATGATTCTGTTTACTTTATTAGTGTTGATGGTGATTCGGAGTTGATGTCATCATCACTGTTTTGTGTTTTTGTGCTTGTTTGCCAGGCTGTCTGGAGGAGGAAGGCTGGAGTACAATTCTTTGTTTTTTCATCTCCTTAGACATACGTGAAAATGGCCCCAACTTCTTTGTTCTAAGCCAGAGACTCCAGCTCCATTTTCTTCAGGATAATGAATTACAGGTTGTAGTATAATTTGCACAGGAATTAAAGCGTCCATGAGCCAATAGGAACCTGGAACCTGTAACAAGCTTTCGTTGCACCAGCAGAATTGTGCCGCTGCTGTAAACCTTGGCTTGGGGTGCGGTTCTCTGGTGTCCAGAAGGCATTATTCTCATGTCAATGCCTAATAACCCCAACCTGGCTTTTCAGATCCTAGAACTGCCAGTGCATTCATAGCATCCATGCAATAAATATCTTTTCATGGCGTTTTAGAAAGTGGAATGACCGAACAGATATTTTTCAGAAGAGGAAACTATAATAGTCAACACACGTAAAGATGTTTACCTTCAGTGGTCATATGGGCCAGGTGTATTAAAATGACTTTGAAATATCATTTCACACTTATTAGATAAGCAAACATTAAATAGTCTCACAGTACAAGTGTGATGAAAATGAGTAGAACCTACGCCTTGTAGAGAAAGATTTGGCCCTGTCTAGTAAAATTAAAACCCAGAATTGGGCTCTTAGGTATACGTCCTACGATATCTCTTGAACTTGCGCATAAGGAGATATGTATAGGATGTGTACTGCAGCACTGTTTGTAATAATAAAAATTAGAAACCACCTAAATGACTCTCAAAAAGGGACTGGATGGTTAAAGTGTGGTATAAATTTGATATAACAAAACAAACGAACCAGATCGGTACACAGCTACATGAATGAATCTCTAAAACACAAAGTTAAATGGAAAAAAATTAATTAGCATAATATGTACAATGTGACACATACTCATTATAAATTTTACAACCATCTGAAGCAATACTGTATTTGGTTTGCAAATGTATATGAACCACGTGGAAATATGAGCACATGGAGTAGAAGGATCCACACCCAGTTCATGGGACTGTTCTTGGGAAGGAGGGGAGGGAGTGGCCCTGGAGAGGGGAGGGGTGCCAAGGAGATTTCCTCTGTGTCTGCAATACTGTAGTTTAAAACCCTGAAGCCAGTATGATAAAATGTTACTTGTTAATCCCGATGGTGGGTTCATGAATCGTTTTTTTATTCGTTTTGCTTCTGCGTTATTTTTTTAATTAAAAAAAAGGTAAAGCAAAGATCTGTATACCTAGGAGAGAATGCCGCAGCTCGTTGTATGAGGATAGCCGTTCACTCTTTTACTCATATTCCTTTAACCAGTGATGGCTGTGAATTGTGGTCATTTAACACTTGGGAGGGTGAGGGGAGGTGGAGTGAGTTTCGTTCTGGGTGCTTTATTAAACTTTGTAGAGAATGCTGTCACAACTAATATAACCCACCTGCTTGCATTTGTCCCCATGCCCCACTCTCCCCAGGAGAGTCACAGGAAGACTTGCCTGTAGACAAGGTGTCACTGGGGTGGGTAGCTGCTGGGTCTAACCTCGCAGCCATAAGCAAGTGATGAAGTTCATCCATGCACATTAGTGAAAACCTTCGTTGCATTGCAGTCACTGGGACTGGCTCTCACGCCCCAGGGGATTCTCACCACCACCAGGAGTTCCGCCAGGATGAGTAGCTGCAGCAAGAGCTTCCTGAGCATGACTGCAAAACATGAGCATCTACCAGGGTTCTCTGCTCGTTTGAGCACGTTTTATGCCATCCCTACCCTCTAATTTCGTTCTGTCTGCCCTCAGACAGTGGCTTGGAGCTTGGGTGATCATCTGGGGCTCGTTTGCTGGGCAGGCCTTGCATCAGTTTAGGTGAGTGGGGCACTACAGGTCAAGGACACCTAGCTACGCTTGCCCCCCCATATGTCCCCGGGAAGCTATTGTTGTCTATAGACAGACACTGCCCCCTGGCGTAAAGCGGATGAAGCTGCAAATCTACCCGACCCTCGGATTTCCATGCGGGGCTGATGGAGACCCAGGAGCCTCTGGAGGTTCAGGGGGCTCCTTTGAGCCGGAGCATTTCAAGAATCGGAAGGTAGCCTTGGAAAGCAACTAGCCCAACCTCTACAGCACCCACATGTCTGGCCAGGGCCACCCACAGCTGCTTGGCATGTGCCCTGGCTGAGAAGGTATTACCTTCCATGACTGCACAAAAAAGTCATGAAAATGTGAAGACAGGCCATGTGAGTGTGGCGGAGGAAACACTAGACGCGAATGCCCTAACGGTCCTCGGCAAGGTGGCCCAGCGAACCTCACAGGTGACCGCGCGTCTTTACTGCGCCTGGAGGTGGCCGGATCCTAACATTTAATTCATTTGTTTTGCAAGTTCAGGATTTCTTAGAGTTACCCAGTGCCCAGCGGTTAGTTGGCATCGTGTGAATGTTGACCTTGATGCTTTCAGAATACCAGCTTGCTTTGCCACCACAGCTGGACACTGCCTTGCAAGGAAGGGCCGCCAATCAAAGACACGCAGCTCAGGAACCTTCCCCGACTTCCTTGACCAACCCTCAGACCGGAGCTAACGTCTGCATTTATGGGGATCGTGTGCTACTCAACAAACAGTGTATGATTATAGGAAAAAAGAGAAAACATAGGAAAAAAGGAACAAAAATTACCAGAACACTACCAGCCCAAACTAAAATGTGCTCACTTTTTGATGTATGTCCTGCCAGACTTTTTATTACACAAATATGTACATTTATCTGTTTTGCAAAAAATTGTATTTTAACCTGATTTTGTGTGTCTCAACAGTATTATGAATGCCTTGCTGTGTTCATAAATGAGCTAGTACTTTTTTTTTAATGGCTGTAGCCGAGTGTACCAGTGTCCGTTGCAAATACAGGTTGGCCGGTTCCTCTTTTTCACAGCCCTCAAACCCACACAGCCCGTGCTCTGGGTCGTCCTTTGGCTCTGGCCTTCACGCCTCCCAGCTGAGTGTTTACCACTCCTCTTACCCCTAAATTTCTCCTGGCCCCATTCCCCTCCTCCCCAGATGTTCTTTGTTCCAAAACAACCTTCTGAGCATAAAGAACAAAATGACGGCTCCTTGGCTTTCACCCCTCCCCTCGAATCTTGCGTGAAAAATCATTCAAGGTTAAATAAAAAACCTTAAATAAAAGCATACTAGCCAACCCTTGGCATTGTAAATGGTGTTTATTTTTATAGTCCTATCTGTAGTGATGAAACATTTTATTGCTCTGAAAATTTCCTTAAGTTAAAAAATGTGCATTAATTTAAAGACTACTAAGTACATAGTAGACAACCAAACACGGGCATGTGAAACTTACAGGGGGTGCTCAGATGACTGGAGTTCGCGAAGAGCTGCTCTTGTAATATATTCTATTTTTTAAAACTCTAAAGATATGTTCTTTACCTTCCTGACTCTGATTGGACTCTTTCTTTGGCCTAAAAATTCCTTCCCCAATCTCATTTTGATTAACCCCCAGCAGTCTTTCACTGCCTAGCTCAGGGGTCACGCTTGGAACCATTTCCTCACTCCCCTCGGTAGCATTCGCATCTGCTTTCCCTGCGCTCTCTGTAGCTTCGTTTCTACTACGGCTAGTAGAGCATTTGTCAGCATCTGCCTGGATCTATAGCTCTGGATATATTTGTTGTCCTGACTTGAATGTATGTGGCTACAAAGAAACAACTGTTTCTTATCCATTCTTGTTAATCACCAAAGGCTCAAAATACACTGAGTTGTAAAGCGTTGGTACTCACTAAAATATTTTTTTAAAAATTAAACTGAAAAAAGGAAGGTGGTCAGTTGATGGTATTTCCATTTTATTTGGGAGAGAGGAACAGACGAAGGTTCAATAATGTGTCCAAAGTCTTAATTAGTGGTTGGAACCAAGGCTANAAGAACAGACGCAGGTTCAATAATGTGTCCAAAGTCTTAATTAGTGGTTGGAACCAAGGCTAAGTTCTAGAATTACTGGTTTCTAATCCATTTTCCTTTTCCCCCCTACACCATTCTGCAGGGAATTAGTTAAAATGTATGATGGGCTCTTATGTACACAGTGCTGTGTGGGTTTCTTGAAAGGATATAGGAAATGTTAGGTTTTCCTTCCTTCAGGAGATGACAGATCATTAGGAAATTAGAACTTAACTGCATCTACACTGTTAGTAAATAATGCAGGCGGTGCGTGTGCAGAATTAAGAAAGGAGACACTGGCGAGGTCTAGAGTGGTTCATTTACTTCAGAAAGAGGGCTGAGCTTGAGCTGAACTTTGAAGCTTGGGTTTAGGGGAAAATGGGAAAGTCATTTCAGGTGGAAAAACATAACATTGGAAAAAGTGCAGGAGAGAAATAACTCACCTAAAACGTGGCCCAGACCCGCAGCTCTGGCCTCAGCAGTTTGCTAGAAATGCAGACTCTCAGGTCCCTCTCCAGCCTCGGAATCAAACTGCTCCTTAGAGTTTGAGAGGCGCCGATACGTGTTATTTTTGTGGTGCTGTGCAGTTTACTGCTGGCTGAAGAGAGTCCCCATTTGCCCCCCAGAATAGCTTAGTCAGATGTGAGTGAATGAGCTAAGGATGTATTACTCGCGTCTGTCTTGCTAGAAGCAGACCTGAAGCTCGTTGAGGCTTTGACTTGCTGACCGCCTGCTGGAGCCGAGGCGCACACTCGGGCTCAGAGTCCACCTTCCCTTCCCGCCACACAACGAGATGTCGTGTGTGGGGACCCGAATATTCCAGCAGAAAGCTCGAGGGTGCGTTAGGCAGCACCTGGGCCGTGTGGTGGGATCTGGAAAGCCAGGCCGTTTCTTGTTTATCTGTTAAGATGTTTTGACCCGAAGAATGTCATGAGGAGGGTCCCCGGGAGGCTGGTCTGGTGGAGGGATTCGAGTTGAGAAGAAAGGACACGTGGAGACACCAGTTATTCGGGACACAATAACTGAATTTTTTTAAATTCAGAAACTGTGTAGTGTCAGTAAGCCACCCCCAAAATATTTATGGGATGCTCGCTCCATGCCGGGCACGGGGCATTTGGTGTTGCCCTCGTGATGTGGCTTTGCTCGGGTAATGCTGTTGGTAGAGTCACTCAGGTGAATGAGTACCAAGTGCCCCGAAGACTGCCAGTAGTGCCGGGAATGACATCATCTTTGATTTTTCCTGTTTCCGTTTTTCTCTGAAAAGAGCTCCGGCCCCAAAGTTCAGTGGCTCCCCGTCTCATCCCGGCCTCGCTATGAGTGTTGTCGGTGACCCTGAGTGACTCACCGATCACTCCGTAGCTCATTGGTCCTGCGTACAACACAGACACCCTACTTACGGTGACTTCATGGGCAAGATATTGTGATGAGATCACTATTGGGAGACAGTTTTGGTTTCCTGAGTATTTGGACAGCTTGTAATGCTGTTCAGGATAAAATTACTTCTAAAACCTTCACTCTTTGAAACTTTTCAAATGTCAGTCCCCTGGTGCATTCTAGCCACTTTCCTGACTATAATTATGCGGGGAGGGAGAAGCCCCCCCCCCCCC